TAGACTTACGACGGATGAAATGATGAGTAGGTGCATAAAAGGACTGACACAGAATAGGAATAAACATTTACACTCTAGGATATGGAGATTATGCCCGAAACACAGAAATGCATCTCCAAGAATGATCAAATTTGCAACAGCCACTGCAATCGCCAACTACAATGCAGGCTACTTAGGCAGTAATTTCAACCATCTTCTTGGCATTGATTTCACCACATCTATGGAAACTTATCTCAAAGAGAAAGATAACAAAATGGACTCCCCTATCAGGAGGAAAATGAGGAAGAAGTTCATCCGAAAAGCGTTAGAAGATTATGCTGCTGGAGGCTTCTAAGGAAAATACACCTGTTCCGGGAAGAAAAATGCCGTTTTCTCAATTGCAAGTTATCGTTCTTTAAGTTCCTATTTTATAGCCATTTTTCATCCAATTACCTTCATTTTGGTATTGATTTTTTTGTCATTAAATTGTACACAATTTTAATGGGCCAAAATTAACATTTGCACAGAGTAAATATTTTTAAATGCATACAAAAGCAAAATTTTAGAAAAAAAATTGCGATAGCATCAAAAATAAAATTAGGTTAGGTTATATTACAACATATCTGCGAATGTTTTGAATTAAAAGTTCTTATGAAGGGTTAAGCTACTCACATAAGTAATTGTAAAAGCATGCTCCAAATACTTTCCGTAAAATAGGGTTTTAAATATAAGGCTTTTTCTATACCGATTTTTCCCTATTTTATTTTTTTTCTCCATTTCTTTTTCATGTATCATCCTGAAACGTTCTACACACGTGAGTAGGTACATAAACTTACACTGATTAAAATTTCATGTAAATCCATCCATTTTTGTTTATTTCATACAAAAAAGCATATGCTCTCCCTTAAACATAATGGCAAGGAGCCGAGATTTATGCGTCGCTTAATTTCTTCTTCGCTAGATGTGTTTGTCTGTATGATTTGCCCTAGGTATATATATTTGTTCACTACCTCTAGCGCTTCGCCTTGTACATGTATCTGCTCGATTTGAACTCTTCTGTTGAAGAAGATCTTAATTTTTTTCTTGTTCATCCAAAGTTCGACTGTCAGACTTGCTCTGTTCAGATCGTTTATTAGTTGCTGCATTTCATTTGCAGATTCACTGAAGTAAACAATATTATCTGCAAATCTTTGATTGTTTAGGTATTCGTCTCCTATGTTGATACCCTTTCCGATCCCTTATAGCTTCTTGAATATTTCCTCAAGGCAAGCTGTAAAGAGTTTTGGTGAGATTGTATCGCCCTGTCTAACACCTTTTTTAATTGGTATTTTATCGGTTTCTGTGTGTATGCATGCATCTGCATATTTATTTATTCATTTGTGTGTGAGTATGTATCTATATATAGAATAACCGCTTTGTAAAACTACGCATTCCGGCATATCCTTGCATGCACATGAATGCCTGTTTATAATCTACAGTGCGGTCTGATGTGCTAGTTTATTTGACCAGATATTTTGTTCAAATAAACATATGTGATTAACTCAGAACGCAATTTATCGATACGTTATCTTTACAACAATCATTTGTCATCTAAAACCACAAGTCAGTATTTGCTACACTTCAAATGGCTTTAGCTTGTTGGATAATTTATCATAATTTGTTTCACTAAATTAAAACCTTGAATTAAACTAGACGAACTCTTTCGGGTCTGTAACATCGTCATATATTTTTATGATAATAGGACAGACAAATGGTTTCTGCAAAATGTAGTTAATTTTGGATAAAATAGGTCCATGATTAAATCTACTTTCAACCAGTTTAATAGAACATAAGTAATGTGTCAATATACGCAAGTTCGGAGGTCTATAAAATACTAATCAGTTAAGCTAAGACATATACATCAAAGTAACTAAATAAGATACATGACAAATGGTACCTCTAATAAAAAATCTCTTCTATCCCAAGGATGTCCGTATGGACGAAAGAGTGAACAAGTTCCAGACGGTGCTGGTGATGAACGCCGGCCAGCTGCTGCTCCACCCCAGCGTGTGCACGAGCGTCAGCCTGTACCACATCGGCTCCGTCATGTTCACTAGCACCAGCCAGAAGGCCGCGAACTGCAGCGGGAAGGCCCTCCACCTACACAATGTCACAGTGGATCAGATCCCGCCTTATCTGGAGATGATCAGTCTGGAAAACTCGCGACTCACGGGAACTTTCCTCTCGCAGCCGCACCTGAAGAAGGTCAAGGTGGTCAACTCGTGGCTGAGACACTTCGACCTGGACACCGTCATGAGCGGAGCCTCTGAGGTGCGGCTGCACAGGACCAACATCACGACGCTCAACAGACTCCACATGGCTGGGCGATCCAAGCTCTTCATAACGGATTCCACGATCCAAGAAGTGTCCGAAAATGCTATAAATTTCTTGGAAAACGCCAACGTTGAGGTTTTGCGCTCAGTGTTTCAAGACGATTCTACCGAAATTGTAGTTCATAACTACAAGATAGGCATATTATTAGCCAATATTACTGGATCATGGAAGATCAACTATAAGTGTAGGGACACTCAGGAAACAACTGTTAATAAATACTTCTCAGACGGACGAATAGGACAGCAGAATGATTTTCCCTTACAAGTTCTCTTAGGTGTGTTGGGTGTGCTGCTTGCGATAAGCGTTTTCTACAACTGCTATACCTGGAGGGAAAGTAAAAAGATAAAAGTGAAAGCGAAAGAGGAAATTAAAGCCTTAATGGAAGCGTAGGAAGATCCTGGACCGAAATTGTAAATAGTGATAAACAGATAATCGTCAGAGAAAAATAATTCAAAATGAAAACATTGCAGTTATCGAGTACTGTATAGTCAGAATAGAAACAATTTTCACATGAAGGGAATTTCGAAGCATTTGTATTTCTAATAATACCGTGGGCTCTATATTCACTTTTAGCGGTCTTTCTCTTTTTGTTTTTTGGGAAAGAACGCTCAGTCCCCAGATTTCGCACCAAAGTGCTACGATTCTGCCCAGATAACCGAGCGTACGACCAGAAACGCCCCTTCAGTCACACTTCAATGAGGCATATCTTATAAAGACAAGATTGATTGTCTGTCCTATCTATATCACTCTTTTGTCAAGCCTGTTATGTAATCATTTGTAACCGAATATGACAGTGCCCTAAGAATGATAATCATGTTATTTATAATATGTAAAGAAAAACAAACTTTTCATCATGCTAATCGAAATCATACACATTATCTGTTGTTCGTCAATATACTGGGTTTGTGATTTTTACTTTACCAGATATTTTGACCGAAAGTAAATTATCTCAGTTTCCTGTGCTAGTATTCATTTAATTCACGTGCTTATTTCAGATGTGTGTGTGTGTGTGTGTGTGTGTGTGCGTGTGCGTTTGCGTGTGCAGGTGTAGATTTTTTTCACTCAGTGTGATGATGATGATCTGATATTATATATGTCTATATACACCTTTAAGCTATTATAAATGGGACGAAATGTGTCTAACATACTCAGTAGTTTGATACAATGAAAAGGTGAGATTATTGTAGCCAAATCATTCAATACTTCAATACCAAATGAATTAGTAGTAACTAGTAGTAATAAAAGTCAACTTGTCTCTCGAGTTTAAAGGGAGTAAAGTTTTAATTTCCCCAGTATAAACTTACGTACTGTATCTGACATATGCAAGTGAAATGGTACTCTTTCATGGCAGAAGCTCTTTGATAACATTTCTGTACGATTTCAAGGAGTCTGTTATGATTTTTTCTAGGATTCCCGTGTATAAAAGTACTAAACGCAGGTAAACCTATAATTGTTATTGAAATGATATTATATTAAATTGCTTTATATCATACTGTCCTTTAATGTCCTTTTTTATTCTTACAGTATTGTAATCTGTTTCTGTTAGGTGCAGTCAACTTTAGCATGGGCATCGGAAAGATTACAAACTGATGATACTTTATACAATAAAACCCTATTGGTGTACATCACCCACGAAATATAGGTTACTTATATGGTATGTAAGACAGGCTACTGGTTTTTCTTTAGACACTTTACGCCACTGTCATTGTTTGACACTGGTGAATTTTCTATAAGGCAAAGTTGCAATTTTGGACACTTCTGCACTTTCAATTCTTAAAACGTTATTTTTATTCGAATTATGTGTGCACGTGCTATCCTTGAGTTGAGGACAGCACGTGTTTCCTTTCACATCTATATTCTTGCTTGATAAAACTTTTTTTTTCATTTCTACATTGCATATATCACTGCGAATCCCTGACATAATTAAGACAAGGTAATACTCCCTGTACAATACCCTGGTGATAATTGATTTTACCTTTCAACCATGAAGATGAAGACACGCGGTAAACCCACAATGCATCACAATGCAAGGTTCCTCCCCACCCTCCTCTCTCTCTCTTTTTCTCTGTCTGCCTGTCTGCCTGTCTCTCTCTCTCTCTCTCTCTCTCTCTCTCTCTCTCTCTCTCTCTCTCTCTCTCTCTCTCTCTCTCTCTCTATCTCTCTCTCTCTCTCTCTCTCTCTCTCTCTATCTCTCTCCTTCCTCATCATGTGAGCCGTTATTGAGGAGATAAAGCCTTGTAAATTTGTATGCAATGTCCTAATATGTGGTGTTGGTTTATCTCTTCTCGCCTTTTTTCTGATAACTTGTTACAATCTAAAGACAACTGATGAGACTTGATTTTAGCTCGAATCGTTCAAGGGGAGCTGCATAGAATCATCAAGCGGTAGGATTTTGTTTATTATTTGTGACAAATTTGGAACACCTTTTTCCAAGTGGACTGTCTCACCAGAACACATGATAGTCTCCGTTTCTTTATTATATCGTCTTCTATGATAACTGACGTATCGGAAATGACCATTTGGAGCTGCATTTAAACCTTCTAAGAGTGCCATGGAGGCCAGGAGAGAAGTAGATACATAAGCTCCTTAGATTTTCATCACCATGGGTAAGTTAAATCGAAAAAATAAAGTAGCTTGTGTCTGTGTGAGCACATCGGGAGTTTCACAATGTAATAATTCCGCAAAGTTGTAATTATATATATTCATGTCGAAATCTTAAGGATGCCAGGGTGTATAACATTTGCTAAAGAATTTTGTCAACAGTTACTCGTAACATATAGCATAACATATTACTCCTTTGAAAAATAAATGTGATTTAACAGTGACCTTATGTAGAGGCAGGGTGAGGGTTGGGCCATTTGTGACACACTGGGAATACCACACCAGGCCTCTATTAGTGTACATTGTCTCAACTTCATATAAATATATATATTTATATATATATATATATATATATATATATATATATATATATATATATATATACATATATATATGAATATATATATATATATATATATATATATATATATATATATATATATATATATATATATACATATATATATATATATATATATATATATATATATATATATATATATATATATATATATATATTATATATATATATATATATATATATATATATATATATATATATATATATATATATATATATATATATATATATATATATATATATATATATATATATATATATATATATATATATATATATATATATATATATATATATATATATATATATATATATATATATGTATATTTATATATACATATATATATATGTATATATATATATATATATATATATATATATATATATATATATATATATATATATATATTTATATATATATATATATATATATATATATATATATATATATATATATATATATATATATATATTTATATATATATATATATACATACATATATATATATATATATATATATATATATATATATATATATATATATATATATATATATATATATATATATATATATATATATATGAAAATGTAGCACGACAGTTTTTGACGGCGGAAATGAGACCTCAGTCATTATATCTTAATAATTTGCTTAATCTTCTCAATCATAGGCCGGGCCATAGCCGAAGGCCCGGGCGAAGCTAGAACTTCGCAAATCGCAATCATATCATTATTCGGAAAATATTTGCACATGCCTCACTCATCTATATATTTTCAGATTTTGATATCCTACTGCTATGAGAGGATTCTAATGCCGATGTCCTTTCGGAGGATGAGTGGCCTCAAGCATTCATCACCCGCAACAAGGAAGACAGTGACTCAGAGGAGGAGGAAGAAGAGGAAGAAGAGATGACCCCTGCATCACCTTCATCCTCAACCGAAGGTCAAGAGGAACAAAAATGTATTGTCAACAGGATGTAATTGAGCAGTAAGAAGGCACTTAATATGCAGATGGTTTGGGTTCCACAGGGATAGTTACATGCAAGTATTCTAGTATTCACCAAAGGAAATTGCAGGATCATCAGAACATTTTTCTCCAACTGAGTGTTTTAATGGATATATATCTGAACGTATATTAGAGACACTTACGGTAGAGACGCAGAAAAATGATTCTGCAAAGACTGGAAACCGGCTTCAAGTAAATAAAAATATCCTAAAGAAATGCATTATGGATGTACTGAAATTCCCCAGGCAAAGCATGTACTGGAAAGAAAGGACAAGGATTTCCATTATTGCAGATACAATGGACAATTTTTTTTCAGGTTTTAATAGCCCATCTTAAGCTTGTTGACGACAGCACCGTGACTCCTGGCAAGAAGAAAGAAAATAAACTTTGGAAACTTAAGATGACCATCCTCTTGAAACAGTTTTATAGACAGAAGCCAAATCCACATGACCTGAAAGTCTTTGCGCTTGCTTCAACAGATGGCCTTAGCCTTGATTTTGAGTTTTATCAGGATAAGGAGTAGCTCATGAGTTCCTTGACTAGAACAAACTTAAGGGTTGGAGGTTTCAATAACCTGACCATCGGTGAGGCTTTAGTCCTAAGATTCGCAAATTCTTTTCCCCAAAGGAACCTCATTTTACTTCGATAGGTTCTTCACCACACCTTGCTTTCTTGAAATTGAGACTGAGTTTGCGATGGGTGCTACTGGCACATTTTTAAAAAATCTGGTGCCTAAACCTTGTAAGCACAAAATCGAAAATCAGAGACTCGGTAGAGGCACTTCGGACTGTCTTGTACGGAAATACAGAGGATTCTTGGTGACCGTGTGGTATAAGAAAGCAATATTTATTGCATCCAATCAGCATGACATAGAGCCAACATCACATTACCAGAGATGGTGTAAAAAGACGAAAACGTTTCTGAACATACAGCGACCAAGGATCTTTGCAGTTTACAATGAAATCATGGGCGATATGAATATACCAGACCAGGTTCTGACATATTACAGAAATAAGTCACGTACTCCAAAATACACTGTCCGAGCAGTGTTACATATGGTCGATGTGGCATGTTCGAACTCGTGGCTTGAATACCAGAGATACTGTATCAAGGCTAATAAAAAGCCAATGGGCAACATGTAGTTCAAACTCCAACTTGCTGACTCTTTGACTGGAGGAACTTGCAGTGGGATGTGAAGATGGCGGAGAAAGGCTAAAGCGCAAAACACCTAAACCTATACTAAATGTTGAAACACGTACTACTGGAACATGACATGCCTCAGGTGTTGCCAGCGTATGCAATCAGGAATAGGTGTCGCAATCCTGGTTGTTCTGAGAAAACTTGATTTTCTTGCAGGAGTTGCAGTCTTCCTTTGACTTACAAATGGGCGTGACTGTTCTTATTTTATTTCATCAGCCATAAAGGTTCTTTTACGTGCTTCCAGAATGATCAGTGCATTCAAGATCTATTAGTTTTTCTTTTCTAAACAGGGTTGTATAATTTCTCAGAGATTTCTTTATAGTTTAATGTTTAATGTTTTCATAATTACTTCATTTTGATTTTCATTTTCAATATAGTTTTTTTTTTACAGTAATGGAGGTTATTTTACCTCAAAGTGCAAGATCAGTTATAATAACGGATATCGGATTTCTTGTTGTTGCCTTTTGATTTACGCTTTTCTGTTCATAAATCCTGTGATTTTTATGGAAAAGAGAAACAAAAAAGTTCCTGGGTAAGAATGGGATTATTTCACACACACACATATATATGTATATATATATATATATATATATATATATATATATATATATATATATATATATATATATATATATATATATATGTATATATATATATATGTATATATATATATATATATATATATATATATATATATATATATATATATATATATATATATATATATATACATATATATATATATAAACCCACACACTCACATGGACACACACACACTGTGAGGTGCTTGTTGTCACTGCTGTCTACCAATATCAGGGTCGCGTTGATTAAATGCATGGTCCGGTTGTATGTTTTATTTGTGGTGTAAGCTGTCGGTAGCGTAGCCGGCTTGTTTAGAAGTAGAACTCCGGGCAGCAGTTAGGCCCGGTAAAGCAGGCGGCCCTGGAGGGTGACCCCCAGGAGGAGGCTGCGTTCGAACGGGAGCGTGACTCGAGGTAGAGTGATTGTCCGGGTCATGATTGCAGGCAAAGGTCAAGAGGGATGTGGGCGTGGCTTAGGTCAATACGGTGGCGGCGCCATCCACCCCTGCTAGTTGGAGATCGCTCGGCACACGCCTCGACGGGGAAGCAACTTGCTATGAACCTTCGCGGTGCTGGACCCATGTGGCTTCCTCCTGTTCGCGCCCTGCGTCGTGCGCTCCCGTCGTCGGCCGGTGCTCGGTTTGTCCTGGCAGGCTGCGTCCCTTCTTGCGTCGCTGCTGAAACAAGTACATTAAGGGCAGAGACAGGCAGAGAGACAGGAGACAATTGCAATAGTCCGCAAG